TTCCATTGTCAGGTTTAATCGGGAACAATCTAGCTACTAGATGCATACGTGCTTAATAGTTAAAGACCCTTAAATATTGTTTTTGCTTTATAGGATGAGAGAAAGGCTTTCATTCTTGTTACTTCTTGCATGCAAAAAACGTAACATAGAGAGGAGTTGGAGACTCTTATTTTGGTTTATGTTTTGAAGATTACTTGTATTTCTTTTGCTTTTTTTGGTTCATATTTTGATATGAACTAAATATTATGAGTTGTTTTTAAGAGTTTTACAAGACTAGCATCTTACATCAAGTTGGTTTTATGTAGGTGTCTTAAATGTTTTATATTCTTCATCAACTTCTCAGCCTCCTTTAGAGGATTCAAAGTCTACAAAGATTGTTGAATTCTTCTTCTTCTTTTGTGTTTTGTTTTCTTTCCAATCTTTACAAGAAGATTCATGGTTAGTTATAACTAGTTTATAATTGTTCAAAAAATATACCCAAGTCTTCCGTTGCTAAAATCTTATTTTTGAAACTAATTTTTGAATAAAAACCCAACAAATTGTCCCATCCCAGTAACAAAGCATTGTAATAACATCCATTTAGAAAAATGAACAAAACATAAATCCAATAATATTGAATCAAATACATGTTGAAGCAAATAATTTTGAAATTCAATCACACAGTAAGAATAATAATATACCAAACCTACAAGAATTCCAAGTGTGTGTTCATGAGGAACTCCGCGTAATTGGAAAGAGTGTATTCATGTTTTCTAATCGAAAGTGTGAAATAATTCACAACAAAATCATTTGTACACATGCTTACAGTAGGAATCAATAGGAATCACGGTAAAAACCATTCAATCATAGTAGAATCAAAGCAACAAAAATCAACTTTTTGAAGTAAAAAACCTAGGACTTACCGGCGATGGATGTAGCCGGAATCGAAGTAGGACTCGATGGTTGTGGATATTGTCGGAATCGAAGTAGAGTTGCATAAAATTAGGACACCGTACGAGAGAGATATAATTTTCGCAAAATCATTTAAACGTATAAAAATAAGGGATAGCTACACATGGATATAAGGAATGTCGAAAACGGAGCTCGTATGAAGAAGTTACACAATTTACAAAAATCAACATTACACAAACTTATAGAATGGGCATTATAGACCACGGAGAACAGACATGTGTCAGCATGAGAATGGGCCACGACGACAGAGCACGACACGCTCCATAAAAGCACAGTGTACCCCTTATAAATTTCGACTATAAATGCCACATCATGTCTCATTTGATTTCCACAACAAGACAAACACTTTCGCTGATCCTTCTTTCCTTCCTTCTTACTTCTTAAGAAAAAAATTATCTTCTTTAAAATTATTATTTAGCTGAATATTCTCCCTCGAATCCGAGCCCCTGACTACTTTCGACAAGAAGAAAATATCAATTAAAGCACGCTACGAGAGTGAGTTTGTGGCCCACTCTTACGTTTTTCAAATGTTTTACGTGCAGGGGGGATGGGGAGATGGGGACATTATCATTATCATAATTATTGCTATATATATATATATATATATATATATATATATATATATATATATATATATATTAGTGATTTAATTATACCTAGAACCATTAGGATGATGTTATGCTTGGTAGTACCTTGCCAAACTTTTAACGATAATATTATGCCTAGTTGTTACCCTGACCAACTTTTAAGGATTATATTATACTTAGTCGTTATGTTGGCCATTTTACTTGGAAAACATTTTACATAGCTATTACTTTGGCTAACTTTCAAGCACAACATCGTACCTCGTCGTTATGCTGGCCAATTTTATGTTGGCAAACATTATTCTTAGTTATTACCCTGGCCAACTTTCAAACAAAACATCGTACCTAGTCGTTATGCTGGCCAATTTAATAGCAAAAACATTATACCTAGTTATTATCCTAGCCAACTTTTAAATACAAGATTGTACTTGGTCGTTACATTGGTGAACTCACTAGGAAAGTAGTATACCTAGTTGACACCCTGGCCAACATTTGGGATAACATTGTACTGGTAATTAGAATGCTCGGATATCATACAGAATAAACTATAATTATATATAAGTACGTAATAAATATAACTAACGAAAACCAAAGCCACGATACAACTACACAAAAACAACTATGATACAGCTATAAAAAAATAGAATAACCTAAGCTTACTCAAATATATGTATATTATAATATATATATTAAATACAAGTAAAGATAACAACGGAAAGTAAGATACACGATATGACAACAACAATTAAGGCTAAACTAAGTAGTTGTTAAATGAGACACTTCACTCTTTTTAAACCTAATTAGTTTTTAGCCATACCCCAGCCTATAATCATGGTTCTTCACAACAAAGTATCGTGCATAGCATTAGTTAATCCAAGAATCGATTATAAGGAACTCATTGTAACATTGTCCATCACCCTTAAATTGATAAGTAGTACATACTACATGTAATAATACTACGGACGTTCGAAAAAAGGAACATCTTAAGCATACAGTTCTAGGACAGGACAGTATCCTATTAACCCACCTCCCTATGTTAACCTACCTCAATATGATAGTTACTTGTTAACCTACCTTTTGAGATACAATAAGCAAGATAGAAACATACGATAAGAAATGCCTAATGTAGTACATTTGATAGGGAGACACCTAAAAAGAATGATAGTAAACAATAACCATAAGAAAGAGTAAGAAAGAAATAGTACCTACAAACAGTCGAATCTTACTCTAAAAACCGTAAAGGCCAAAATACTTTTATAACTAAATATAGTTACGTATAGAAATTATTTTCAAACTATAAAACATATGAACTCACCAACATTATGTTGATCTTTCAAAACCCACATGTATTCCTAGAATACTGTGAGATAAAAGATTGCACTCCCTGAAGAAGCAGTTTATTGATGGAGCTACTAGAAGCTTAGTATTGTTTATTATCATGGCTAACTGTAGAGGCGCCTTTTTATTAGAGATTCTAATAAAACATATTATGATGTACTATTTTTTACATAATGGAGGTAATATTTATGTTAAATCTTGTTTTGTACTGTTCAATATGTGTTCAATATTTGTGATCCAACATCCTAATGTCGCACGACTCGACGATCCACCACCAGCCGAGGGTGTGACATGTCACTATATGATTCATTTATCTGTTACAAGTATTTATGTTACATTTCTTTGGCAATCTTTAGTTGGCATATGTTTATAAATACATTTCAGGTAGTCGAACAAAATGGTACAAGTGTTGAGAACTTCTCCACTAGCGTACCTTGATCTTTGTGTCGTGTTGTTCGATGGAGACTTCGACCAACGTTGGCTGTTGGGGTCATCTTCTACACTTTCTCACCCTTCTTTTGACTCGCCCAACGTTAATTTAAGTGAATTTTATGATATTAATTTAGAGAAATTAAATATCATCGTACTTTTCTTCCTAATTATCTTCCTACCTATTTAAAAATATGACAAGTGTCATAAAATATCATTAATTTTATCTAAACATGACACTTGTCACAATTTCATGTGGGTAAGAAGATAAGTAGGAAGAAAAGGTAGGAGGATATTTAATTTCTCATTAATTTAACTAAGATGGAAAGTATGACTTCTCCCGAAATTCAAATGAAGGAACCTCTAGTTGTTCCAAAAACAGAGGATCAAATCGAAAAGAAAAAGCAACAATCAATGTAAAGATCATCGAAGTCGGTGAGGAAATTGACAAAGTTGCAAGGATATTAGTGAAGAAACATAAAGAGTGTGATATGGAACTGGGTATAGAAAAGTTGGTTAAAATTGAGTGGAGAATATTTGACCCAAGATACCAAATGTCTATTTTGCTTTTTAGTGAAAGCTTCGATATTACAAAATTTTGTTTGTCTTTCGAATTCTGGTTTTCCATTCCCTCCACTAGGTTTGTATTTTTTTTAATTTGATTATTAAATACATTATATATTTTTCATATAGCAATTGCATCACTTACATTTACAGATAAATGTTACCTTTGAGATGCCGTATACACCACACTCATGTGTTAACTAAGAAAGAAAGATTCAACCATGCTCATGCACATACCTTATTCACTAGTCCACGAGTGTTGGTGTATGTGGTGCCACATACACGAACACTAGTGCATTAACCAAAACATCATAACCCCTACCACAATATAAGATATTGTTTAGCTGATTTTCGATACCACCGTACATTAATTAAGGAGGAAAGGTTCAACCATGCTAGCGCACAACTCAAAAGTGTTATTGCGCGCACTTATAGTGTTTTGAAGACGAGATTCTCAATCCTAAAGCAAATAGCTCCTCATCCTCTTCCAGTACAAAAAGACATAGTGATTGTTTTGTAACACATAATTTTATAACAATATATAGTATTCATGATCAGTTATTTATAGACTTTAAATAAGACACTATGTTTACTAGTGAAGTACAATATGGAGAAAGTGATGACTAAAATGCACTCGGCGTTCAATAGGGTAACCAAGACAATGAAATATATTGCTACTTTACGTGACAAAACCGTTAATCAATTATATTAAGTTTATATGCAAAATATTATTTTTAAGTTGGATGTTGTATGATGTTTAATTTTGGATATTATATGATGTTTAATTTGGATATGTATTACATATAATTTTAATTTGTGTTTAATTTGGATTTTATGATTTTTTTTATTTATAATTATACAAGTTCAATCATCATTCATTAATTACTAAAATCATTTTCATCATTAAGACATAGACATTCATATACCTAACCAAACATCAATTTATAATCTAGATATAGATTCGTACATAAGGTATGCATCATTCAAATATGAATTTTCCAGATGCTACCAAAGTTCCCCTTACCCTTCAATTGATCAATTGTGAGAAGGCAAAGTAGTAAAATAAATACCCATCAAAACCAAAGGAAAAATCAAATAGAGCTTCAAAAGAAAATTTCGACAAAAAGATAATATATTTGCATTAAAAATAAAAGTTTACATGTATTTTCTAACCTATACGCAAATTGTTCCCATCTAATCCTAAAGATAAAAAAAAGGAACACTACACAAATGAAAGAACAAACATATGCATATATGACACTCACCTACTCTTTGGTTTATTGAATTAGCTCCATGATAAAGGGCAAAGTTGGAATTTCCAGTATTGTGTTAGTAATTTGTTTTTTGGTAAGTGGTCAAAGCGACATCACCTTCACAGTCTTGTCATTGTACCCGGACGTACAAGTTGTAATGCATGTGCTCTCAGACTACATTCTTGCACCTGTGCACAAAGAAAGATCGAGAAAGTCTCAGTCATTTTACAAATCTGTCCTCATTTACTTTTTTTTCTTTCCATTTTCATATGAGTTCCTTTATTTTCTCAAATATTTTTTCAACCCTTCAAAGGAAAAAAGAAAACCACTAACAAGACTTGCCTCAAAGAGTGTTGATGTTGAAAATAGATCCTTGCATCGATCAAGCAAAAAGCATTCGCTTTTTGTTGTTTGTTGAAGTTCAAATGCCAAAAAATTCACATTCTCCACCTGTTTTAATAAAATGTTTCATGTAGAAGAAAAAAAAGTTGAAAAAAGAAAGATTCATAGAGTTAGTTGTTCCGCTTCACCTTAGTTACTAAAGAGCATATGGAGACTGATATTGTCTGCATCACATCAACAGCTGAGAAAATGGCGTCTTTCAAATTTTCAACATCAGCCTGTAAAATCAATGAATGTAAAAAATATTTTTTACAGTTTTACTTTTGAAGATCATTAAGATTTGAAGATCATACCTTTGCACCACATAAAACTGGAAGACAAAGAGAGCTAGACTCCAGAACCTTAATAGCCCCACCTAAGGAGATGGAGTGATCCTTTTCATTTTGATCCCATTCATCCAAATATGGCATCTCCATTTGTCAAAAACATACAATCAGAATTAAGAACACTATTTTATATTAAAAATAGGGGAAAATCAATAACAAAATGAAAGTGACAATGAAGTGAATTGTCATTTTTACTTGTTTCTTCAGGATAGAGTGCAACTTCAAGTCCTGATTCAGTTGTTGTATCTGTAATCTTTTGGATATGACAGAATGCCACATCTTTGAGATAGTCACCCATGCGTTATACAGACTTTTCTGAAATAAATAGTAATTGTTTCAGATAAAATGTACAGAAAGGATAGACTGTATGATATCTTTATGGTGGCGAAGATCAATTGAAAACTCCAATTTGGTGGCTGTTAAGTTACCTGAGCAGTTGCTTGCTGGACAACCATGGCAGCATCTACTTTAGCATTTGCAAACCGCCATTGCAGATGTTTGTTATGAAACAGTCTTAACGCATGTGCATCAACAAGCTTGTTCTCTCCCACCTTCCCTCTCCTTCTGTCAGCAGAAAAGTTGAGAATTGAAGGTGTGTTTAGCAAATTACTTTTAGATCGTACTCCATTGCGTATTGAAAATGGATTGGGATTCGGCTTGTGCTTCGATGCAGGGAGTGGAATAGCTCCGCCGACTGGAAAAGATGGTGATCCGCGTCGGGAGAGTTTGGGACCATCATCTAAAATCTTATATCCGGAGATCAGGTTATTGCTATTGGACAACGGTGGTGAAACAGACTCTGGTTGCACTCGTCTAAGCAGATTAATCGTTTCTTGCCAAAACCTAGCCGGAACCACCACAGCACGACGCCCTCCACCTCGAACATTACACAGGGTGCTCCCGGAGGAAATACTCTCTGTATCGGAAAAGGCATGATCGGAATTATCAGAATCATATACAAGCTTATTAACAGTTTCGTCGATCCCTGGAATCTCTGTATTACGTTTCAGTTTCGTCTCGATGAACTTTTGTAAAGCCCTATCAGCACCGGCTGTTCCAGTTCCAGTTCCAGATCCACTTAATTTCGATTCAATGAGCTGCGAAACATCGGAAGTCTTAGCCGGCGTCGCTACAGCCTTCCTCCTTTCCGGTGTACGATATCTCAATCCATTGTGCACCGGCTTCGCCGCCTTGCTAACCGGAAGCGCAAACGATTCACCTTGAAACGAAACCAACAAACTCCTTGCAGACGTTTTCGTCACCATCTTCGCGCTCGCTGACGTCACACCTGTACGTAAATTTCCAGTATGACGCCGTTCCGCTGATTGATCTCGCTTATTAGTCACCGTAGACACTGTCGTTACGGAATTAGTTCGAGAAACAATTGGCGACGGAATCCGCCTCCTAGGAGTACACACAGAATTTGGAGACGACGTCGTTGTTGTAGAAGAGGAACACGACGACGATGGAGATGACATCGTTGTAACTGTATCAGGAGGTGAAGAAGAACCAGAAGACGAGTACCGTGACAGAGGAGGACCATTGTTGTCACTCTTTGAAGGCAATAGCGGTGCACGCTTCGACCTTGCCGGTGCCGGAGCCCGTGACGAGACCTTAGGATTAGGTGTTGTATCGGTAGAAGACACAGCAGCAGCAACCATTATCTCGCATTTCTCTAACCAAAATGTGCAAAATAAATCTCTAATTCCAAGCCAATAGCAAATCTGGTAACTCAAATGAAATATGGTAATGAATGAAATCGAAACAGATAGTTATTTAGAATGCATAATGCATTGGTGGTGACAATGGGAATATGGCTGTTTTCCGGCGAGAAGACGAGAGAGAAGATTTTATTGAAGGAATGTGTGTGTACGTGTGTGTGTGTGATCAAGATTTATATATAGTTGTATAATTATAATCAAGAGTGTTGGAATCTTCTGTTAGAGTCACCATAACATCAATGAAAATGTGTTTTAATTGCATTAATTATTATATGGTACATCGACACCATTTAACCTAGATGATAATATTTTTTTTGATTAAATGGAATTTTGTCATTGTACCAGTTGGTTGTGTGTTTGTTGTTGCATCACTCAATTTGTGGGTGGTTTAGTTAATAAATACAAATTAGTCAAATCAAATTATCTAAAGATAATTTACTTTAGTTTAATTAAATTTGAATTATTTCTGTAACAATTCTAAGGTTTTCAACTTTTCATGTAGTAATATCAGTGGAAATAATTATAGAAAAAAAATGTTTGAAGGAAGATGTGACATAAAAATGGTGGTTAAGAAGGGGTAGATGATAACAACTAAAAATATAAATAAAAGTGAGACTAAAATAACTTCATGTTGAAGAATGTTAGTGCATGTACCAACCAACTTTTAGCTACTTGCCATTACCAGTTTGGAAGCAGATGTTTCAATTTGTGTTTACCAGCTTGAAATAATAGCACAACTACTTATTACTATATTAAGGATAAATTTAATAACGACAATAAAATATATCATTGTAGCAATTTACTCATTTGTTTTTGTGGACAGAAATGTAATTATTAATATTGACTATTTCTTTTTTGTATCATAAAATCAATCCTTTGCCACTATAATAAGTTTTACAAAATATTTTAATATATATATGAGCTCTTGAACTCTATTGAGAAAATCTATAACATCTATCGTACAATCAGATGAGTTCGATTGTAACCGAAACAATGGTTTCATAGATATTTTTTTAAACCACCACCATTTGATGCAACACCTAATGTGCTCCAGTGTATAATGGATTGGTTGTATAATAATACATTTAGAACATCTTTACATACAAACAATGGATATGTATAAACTTTAAACACATATAATTGAAATCATTAACGTGCATACACCCTATCAACGACGAGTCTACATACTTTTTTGACAAAACTTCAAAAATGGTTCTTGTGGTTTTCAAAAATATCAAGTTTAATCCCTAAGTTCAAAAAACCTCACAGATGATCCCTGTGGTTTCAAAACTTTTAACAATGGTCCTTTTCACTAACTCCGTAACCTTTTGAACGTTAAATGAAGGGTATTTCCGTCATTTCACAAAAGAGGGACCGTTTATGAAGTTTTTTGTTATTTTAAAAAAATATAATTTATTTAATAAAGGGTCCCACCCCTCTCTCTCTCTCTCTCTCTCATAGGTATAAGAATATATCTCGAAATGTCGCCGCCTCCCATTTGATCACCGCCACAACCAATTGAATATGTCCTTCTCTGTCCAGCACCAGCAAGGCTAATCGAGAACCACCTCAGCGTACCAACCTACATCCCCAAAAACCTCTTTACTCGACCAAATGTTGTCGGTGTCTCATTTCGTATCTCATGGCATCCTTGGTAAGATTCTTGATGTCAAAGTAGTACTTTTTGGACACAAACTCGATGTTCAAGAAGAAACCCAGACTTTTCAAGACAAAATCGACAAGGGTATTCAAGAAACAAGAACAGGAATACTGAAGACCGAGATAGACGTCTCATTCCGGTATCGATGAAGAATTAATTGATGAGGTCTCATTCCCCGAGAAAAAGATATTGTTTCTGGATGTCGTGTATTCATTGCGATCAATTTACATTTTCCGTAGAGCCGAACGGGTGGCTAGGGACCGCAGACGACGGAAAAGCCGATGACAATCGGTGGTGGTCCAAGGGATTATCACAATTTAAGAAGATTAAAGAGTGGTCGGTGCTTGTCGTCGTTCCGAAATTGAAGACGTTTATTCGTCGGTTTAACAAGCAATGACGTCCGCACGCCAAATTCCAGTACGATCGGGCTAGTTATTTGCTCAATTTTGATGAAGGTCTGGGGCATCTGGAAGATGATGATTGGTTGAATCATAATTTCTCAACGAGGTACTCTGTAGTTTCCGGACCCTCATTTGTAACGACCCAATTTTCATGTCCGAAATTTTCATTTTAAAATATTACTTTAGAAAACATTAATAAACAAAACCTTGTTTTAAAAAGTCAAGCCATACATCCCATCAAAATATCAGAGTACAATCCCAGTGAATCTCGTAAATGCGGAAACCAGAGTGTGTGCATGATGTGCCGCTACCGCGCCGGCTCCTTCCCCTTCGGTGAAGAGGTACCTGAAAACAAAACTGTAAACGTAAGCACAAAGCTTAGTGAGTTCCCCCAACGTACCACATACCATACAAACACATAACATACGTACTGCCAGGCTATTCTAGAGTGCCTGACTACCCGGTACGGCCATTCTGGGGTGCCGACCTACCCATACGGCCATTCTAGGGGTGCCGTCCTACCCGTGTCAAGCCATTCTGGGGTGCTGACTACCCATCGGTCCTAACAACCGATCCTCGGGGGACTGGTCCCCTTCTGCTACCTCTATCGCATAACATAACAGGCCAACATACAAACATATCATCACATACTGTCAGACGTTTCTGGGGTATCTGACTACCCTGCGGTCCTAACAACCGAACTCTACTACTATCGCATATAACGTATCATGATAGCATATAACATATTAGGTAATAGCAAACCTAGATGATATCACAAAGACAATCATCTATCATACGTCTCCTACTGGTGGGCCGGCATTGTGGCCTTAGACCTACCACTACTGGAAGGTAACTCACCTCAAAGTAGCTGCTGAACTGATCGGGAACTAACTGACCGCTGCTGCTCCGGAAATCCTCCGGCTGCAATTCCCACAACATACTCAATCAAACACTGTTAACTGTCCTTTGGGTAAAATGACCATTTTACCCCTGGTCTAGCTCTAAGTCAAAGTCAGAGTCAACTTTCAGTTGACCCGACTCGCTGAGTTGGCTCTCCAACTCGTCGAGTCCCTATCAGACGATTGTCCTAAGTCCCTGTTTCTACTCGTCGAGTTAGGCTATGACTCGACGAGTTCATCTTCTAGACTAACGTTCAACCTCTTCATCCTACTCGCCGAGTTGTATGAACAACTCGTCGAGTTCATCTTCATCCGAAGAACACTTATGCTAAGACTCGCCGAGTCTGTTCTTGATCTATGAAGATTGCCTTGGACTCGCCGAGTCAGGGCATTGACTCGCCGAGTCCTATCATAGGTGAGTTCAACTTCCAACTCACCGAGTCACCCCCTGTGACTCACGGCTCAACTCGATACTTCATAAAGGGACCAATTCAGTGACTCGCGACCAGACTCGTCGAGTCACATATACGACTCGCCAAGTCGCAGCCATGCATCCATCAAATACAACGATTTGCTCGATTCCAGTCCATGCCATGCACAGATTTGGGCTTCTAGGGCACAAATCACACGTAAAGTTTCCAACTTTACGTGTAGATATTCACCAATATGGATTTTAAGGCTCAAAGTGCACCAAAAGAGGTAGATCTAAGGCTTTCATGCAATATGACACCATAAAGGCATTAGATCCAAGCTCCAGGGACTAAATCATGCCTAGATCTAAAGGCTAACAACTTATTACAACCCACAAAGCACAAACAAGCTTGGGGAAGAGCCCAAGAAGGACTCCCATGAAGCTAAAAGAGATTACAAGCTTGAAAACAGAGGGGAAACGAGCTATACCTCAAGGAAAATGTTGAGATGACACAAAGATGCCTGGTCTCCTTCTCCTCTTCTTGATCTACTCTTCTTTCTCTTCAAAATCTTCAAGAACACTCCAAAACACTTCAATCTCTCAAGGAAATAAGGGTAGAAACGATGTTGGGAGTTCTGGGGGTGAATGGGGACTAGTTTGGGGCGGAATGAGGGTTTAAATAGGGTGCAAACCCTTGAAATTTAGGGTTTCATCCAGCAGCGGTGACTCGCCGAGTCCGGGATATGGACTCGCCGAGTCGCCAACTTAAACGTGTCCTGAGTCTCGTCCCTACTCGGCGAGTCGGACCTACGACTCGCCGAGTCCAAGGCTAAAATAGGGAAATATTCAAATAAAATTCACATACCGGAAACCAGGTGCTACATCATTCCTTTCCAACTCTTCATCCCCTTCCCCCAAATTCCATTCCACTACAACTCCTAGACCAAGGTAACGTGAAATTGTGGAAATTTTCAGAAAAGTCCAAGCCTAACTTCGGGAATGAGCTGCACAAAAAAGCTCCTTCTTCAGTGACCACTGGAAATAGCACACCCATAGAGCTTCGGGAAGCTTCAAAAGGCAGCACTAAAATCCTAATGGGGACTACCAACACCTCCGATCCCCTGCTTTGCCTAAGGGCATTTTCGTGATTTGTAACACCACCATTAGCAAGAGCTACTATTGTTGAGCGCTCTCCACCACCATTTGTTTCCCTCATCACTGAACCTAAAGAAAGGGCATATAAGAAGTTAATGGAATGGAAATCCATTAAAATCAGAATGTGAGGTCCTACCCTTTTTATGATGCTCGATCTGGATTTGACATGTTGACGAAAGAAGGAAGGAGATTGTCTAAGACTAAAGATCCACCTTCAGGCTATGATGAGGGAGGAAGAGAAGGATGAGATGGGGATCAGAGTGTTTACCAGAGGAACCGGTGGTAGAATTTGGTGGTGACGAAGGCGAAAATCAAAACATATTTGATCGATGGAAGAGTATGGAATGATACGACATTACGAGTGAAAAACCTTTGTATTTTCAAATTGGGGTAGGAATTTTATATAGCTTACAGAGGAGAAAGAGAGAGAGAGAGATAGAGAGAGAGAGAGAGAGGTGGGACCCTTGCATATTAAATTTTATTTATTTATTTATTTTAAAAAAAAGTAATACAAAACCTCATAAATAGTCCCTGTGCTGTGAAATGACAAAAATACCCCTTACTTAACGGCTAAATGGTAACGGAGTTAGCCGGAAGGACCAAATGTTAAAAGTTTTGAAACCACAGGGACCATTTGTAAGGTTTTTTGAACTTAGGGACTAAACTTGATATTTTTGCAAACCACAGGGACCATTTTGAAGTTTTCTCTACTTTTTTTTTAAGAAACAAGCTAAGGAAAGACTACATGTAGCACCATCATTGCCATGATCCGGTCCAGGAGGTCGATCCTTGGGGATGAAAGGCATAAGAGGAATGCCATGTTGAATAGGTGCTTGCCTTATTGAGGCCTTTGAGCTTGGAACATGATAATCGAACAAATCTACATTACTTTCATCATCAATATCGATATCTTCCTGCTAGATTTAAAGTCATATATCAAACAACACAACTGTAACATAGCACAAGCTTCTACTTTTGATTCCATCCATAGAAGATGTGCCTTCTAAAGGCAATTAAATCTTATAATATATTCAAGACTTAAAGTTAATGTGTTTGTATATTCTTTGTAACTATGTAAGGGAAACATATCACTTGTTAGAAATCTGGGATAAATCGATTGCTTGGAATCCACTAAATGTCGTGAGCTCGTGATAACACTTTCAAACTGAAGTATTTTGATGATACAATCGAAATCTCAATTGGATAAAATTCAGTGATAAGAACATAGAATGAATAAGGTTATGATTTCGTGTGTGTACCATAAAAAAATGATAAAAAAAAATATAAATAAATAAAATAAAATAAAATAATAAAATAAAAAAAAAACAGGATATAACTACCTATGTCGACCCCAAGTAGGGGCTTTGCCCCTTGGACCCTGTAACACCCATATATCAGGTAATTTCCTTTTTTAATCAAAAGATAAAAATATGTTGCAAAAGAGGTTCCTACACTAAGCGTACTTGGGGCGTACGCTTGGAGTAACTCTTTAAAGTGGGACACACACTTAAGTGAGTACGTTGGGCATACGTGTCAGGTGAGCAAACCCTAATTTGTAGTGTTTGAGCACTATTTAATCATTCTTATCTCCTCAAAACCCTTTTCCTTCATCAACCTCCATCTCCCAAAAACATCCCTTGCAAACCCTAGTTCCTTGTGTGTGATTTTGCACTTGATAAGAGTGTATTCTTGTACTTGTGAATTAGAAAGAAGGTGGTAGATCATCTTGGAAGCTCAAGGCAACTAGATCCAGAAGTGTCTCACCCTCAAGCATCCCTTGAAGTTATAAACCTGGATCTTGATGAATGTTTTCCTTGGATCTTGCTAGTTCTTAAGTTTTTATGCATTTTAGTCCCATAATTTCGGTGTTCATGAGTATGGTTTAGTCTAACCCATATGAGTTGTACTTTTAGGCGTTGTTGAGCATTAGGAATCATAAAAATGTGATCTTTGTACTTTTCTTCCATCCATGCAAGAGTTATAATGCTTTGATTGTGTGTTATGTTAGGTTTTTGGTTTTTGGATTTTTTTTAGTCATGGAAAGTTATAAAGTAGGAAAATGACTCAGAATGGTAGTTGGGACTAGATCTGAGCTTTAGACGTGAAATTTTAATGAAATAAGCATTTAATAGAGAAAAGTGGAACCAGTTGAGTACGCTGAGTGTACTAGTAGTACAATGGGCGTACTTGGTTGATGCATTGTAACTTGGCCAAGGGTGCACTACGCTAGACATAGTGACTGAGTACACAGGGCGTACTCAGTTTATGTTGGCTTTCTTTGACTTTTTTACTTTTGACCTTTGACTAGAGGTTTGACCAAATTTGACTTAGGGGTATTTTGGGTATTTTGAGTAGTAGTTTGAGTTTAGGTCTCTATTTATTGTGTAGGTGACCGATAGAGTTAGTAGTTGGAGCAGTGATTTGTTCAGCTACATTTCAGACAATGAGGTAAGTTTTTCTCACCGTACTTGTGGGTCAAAGGCACCAACGCGGGCCCACTAGATTATGTATCTTGTTGTTGGATTGATGTTATGTTGGTTATGTGTTAGACTGGTAGATCTATATGATTACCTTTGTTCACTGAGTACTAGTAGCGTTTAGATATGAAGTTTCCAAGAGGAGACGAGCTCTTCAACGTCAGCTTCGGTTACAGTAATCCCCGTCGATTCATTACGCTTTATCTCTTCGATTCTTGTCTCCTTCTCCAATATGTGAAGCTCAAGACCCATGAGAAGGTCCCATAATCTAGCAGCCTGTTGAGCGTAAAAAGTTGGCAAGTCAACTTTAGAAAGCCAACACACAAAAAAACGAGCAGCATAAAATATAATATAATACCTTTTTTAAGTACTTCTCGCGAAATGCGGCGATTTCCTCTATGTATTCCAATCTAAGCTCTCTCAACCGTTTAAGTCCTTCCAGAAGGTCAGGGTAGTGTAGACCTTCATTTTCGTGCTTTCGGCAAACAAATGAACCGGCTTCATCGATTATATCAATAGCTTTACCAGGTAGACCACGGTCACTATATATGGATACAGGAAAAGCAATATGTTGTTTGCAAGAGGTGTAAACGGAATCTCTTGAGAATCAGAAACAAATCCGCAACCACTAATCCACTATCACTAGCACTAAAAATAAGTAGTAGTTTGACCTTGTCACGTACGAGTTTCAAATAAATCCCTATTGAGCTTAAGACCTTTGTTGCTATGTCATGTCAGTGTCATCAGCAATAAGACCTAATAAAATCAGCTCTGGGCCCACGAAATTCTGACCTAGCACTCTTGCCTCCTCTTGTTCAAACTTAATAACTTTCCTAGCATTCTCTGTAAAGTAGTCAAATTTGGGCATGTGCGATTGCCATACTACGTCCTTCTCAGGAGCGTCAATCATTGAGTGGAAATAATGGCTTCTGTTAACCATGTTGTTGACTCTCCGGAAACCAGAGAATGTCCTCATTTGATTTGGATTTTGAGGAGATTGTAAGCTGCACTTCATCTTCACTACTCTTTTTGTATTACCAAATTGCTTTGAACGATAGGAAAATGCACAAGGAAAGCTGCTAGATTGCACCAGACCCCATGACATCATTGCAATTGATCAAGTATATTCTGCAAATTATTTATTTCGCAAGCTTAATAATCGGAAGGAAAAAAAAAAAAATATATATGGAGGGGAATGTAATGATTTATTATATTTTGGTGTTGAATCGGTTTCCTAGATGTTGAAATCCAAACAAACATTCTAAGGCATTATATATGTCTCTACAAGTTCATATTTCAGCTTTTGAGGTATAGTAACTTCTAAACACTTTTAGCTTCACGTAAAGTTGAGTGGTTAGAAAGCCCGATAATAAGTATGATTTAATAAAACCGAAATATCCATGGAATTTGTTTTTGGCCAAAACTGTAATTTCCAAGAAAGTTATTTTAATTGAACGGTATAAAACCTCAGGGACTGACTTTATAATTTAATATCACCATACAACACTTTATTGGAAATTCAGATAGGTGTATTTAATAAAAATCAGCCCTATATACATAGATTATTTTTTAACGGTTTAACCTTATCTATCACCTTCCTTAACATAATTCATAGGAGCCTTGTCTGCAACTTGTGTTTTTCTTATACAAAATTTTGAACAATGAATAGAAGATGAAGGTGATAATCTACTGTTGGAGGAGAACGAGCATCAACAAGAAGAACATGTATCTTACCCGAATGAAAGCTTCCTACTCCAATGCTTCTTAAAACTCTGATTCTCTTCTCTCCACGATTTCGTTTGATATGCTTATGGTCGAACCCTATAAACACTATGGCCAAGTTTTCAGGGATTTATATATGGTGAGGATCGATCGAGGCATATTTGAATATTTGACAAGGATAGAGCTCATATTTGAAATCCCGAGTTTGACGCATGGGAAGAATTCATCTTTTAAATGCATATATAATTAATGTTAAAATGTGTTTATATCGGAAATGATCCCCTCCGCTCAAAATCACTTCAATTTGGGAGAAAGATTAGGAATTTATTGTCTTTCTTTCTTTCTATACAAATCCTTCCAAAATAATTTCTGAAAACACGCATCTTTTCCTCTTCTGGTTCTCTCCCTTTTCCTTCGCTTCTCTTCATTGCATTTTATATATTGGGAAAAAAATTCACTTTAACCCCCTTCTTCTATATTCGTAATCTTTAGACCTTTAACTATTCATTCGGTCGGTTCTAGTCCCTTAACTTTCTTTGAAACCAACTTTCTTTATAATTTGTTGTGAATAAAGTCAACCAAAACAATGGTTTGATAGATATTTATCAAACTACGACCCTTTGATACAAAACCTAATGTGCTCCAATCTACATGGAATGGATTAATTGTATGACAATACATTTAGAACTTCTTTACATACAAAAAATGGACATGTTTAAACTTTAAACACATATAATTGAAATCATCAAAGTACATACATACACCTTATCGACCACAAGTCTCCATACTTTTACAAGAAACATTCTAAGGAAACACTACATGATCAGCATCATTGCCATGATCAGGTCCAGGAGGTGGATCCTTGGGGATGAAAGGCATAAGAGGAGTCCCATGTTGAATGGGTCCTGGCCTTATTGAGGCCTTTGAACTTGGAACAGGATTGATCTTGTGATAATCCAACAAATCTATGTTGCTTTCATCATCAAGATTCATATCCTCCTGCCACATAACACAAGCCTCTACTTTTTATTCAATCCATATAATTGAGCCTTTCAAAACAATTAAATCCTATAATATATTCAAGACTTGAAGCATATCACTAGTGTACCTTAAGTTTCATGCCCTTGTGTAGGTTCATGCTTGCTTCTACATAGCCCCATACAAAAACAATTGTTACTGAATTTCATCAAGATAACTATTCCTTCCCTTAAAAGTATATAGACAGCTTATTCTACTTTGGATTATCCAAAAGAATACTGTTTTTTTTTCCTATTTATTATCTTTTTTGATGTTGTATTGAGAATTGTAAATAGAGTAGATTAGAAAAGATGTAAACAGTAAACAGCAAGGATTAGAGAGATTACCAGAAAATGACGGAAAACATAAGCAGATTAAAGCTGTTGCAAACACCAAAAACAAAACCCATAATCCAAAAGCCTTCATCTTGAAATCAAATCAAATCAGATCAACGATCATGAGATACCTTTTCCCTTTAAATACAATCAAAAGTTGTTCTAGTATCGAATCAGAACACCAAAGTCGACCTGGAATCATCGACCCATATCAGTAGACTGAGAATATAGTAATATAGAACCCATCACTAGGAAATTAAGCCCATCAAAACAAACCCTAAATCGCGCATATGTGTGCTGGAAACAGCGGTGGGCAATGAAGGATGTGATGATGCTCCATTAATGGCGTATTAATTGGGGATAGCATTGTTTGCAGAGACAATTGGGTCGGCAATGTAACCCCAATTTAATGGCAATTGCATTTCTCTGAATTTGTGCAGGGTGTCGTGTAGATAGATTTTAGACATTTTCTGCTGCACCCCGCCTTTTTTTTTTTTTTTTTTTCCTAATATAAAAATACATAATGAATTATAAAATCATATCGACACATACAACAATACTCAAACCTACTAAGGGTCATAATAGTTATATAGTCGTATATCTATGGTTTCATCGATTTGTCCATATTAGTACCACATCAATGAGTAATTTTTTTTTTCATTCCATCTTTCAACCATTAAACAAGCATGAAAATAAACATCTTTCTATCCCCACCTTTGGGATATCGAGATCACTTTGTGTAGCCTTATAGATACAAGCAGAGCATTAGGCTAAAACAACAGGGTAATTCCAAACCGATTTGAGAACCCAGGCAAAATATAATAAGCCTAATATTTTTTTTTTTAGTAAAAGACGATGACTTTTGTTTTTGTATTTATTTATAATAAACTTTGTTACAATTGATCGTTGGAATCATTTTTACAATAACATTCTGTTTTTTTTATATATTTTTTCTTCCTTTATCTCACCACCCAATAATTATTTTCAAGACATGTTATTATTGTAAACTTATAAAACAATGAGAATAAAATAAGTAAAGGAAACACCTAAATATAAACATGTGGTGTTTAATCGTTTTCCAACAAGGATAATAATTTTTGAATTGTTGTTTAGGCTCCAACAAAGATTTTAAAACTTGTGATGTTGAAGTTTGTATTATAAAGAAAACAAATAAATTTACTTTTTATTGGAAAACTAACAAAAAAGAAGTGAAGAAAAATAATGAAATATTTCAATTTACATGAGTTAAAAATCAGATTAGCACAATTCATAAAATCATAAATCAGATTAGCACATATTATAAATCATAAATTAGAATCATTGGCGCTTCCAGAAAGTAGATGAACATGAATACAAAATCATTTTTTAAGGATGCGTGAAATCAGATTATCATAAATCGATGTATTAAGAAAGATTGAAATCATAAACTAGAAAACAAAAAATAATCAAAATTAATTCATAGATCCATTCGATAGATGGCAATGAGATGTCCAATACGATGATTATTCCAAAAAAACATAATCGCTTTATTTTGAATTGATTTTTTTGTTACTATTGAAACAATCAAAATTAATTCATAGATCCATTCGATAGATGGCAATGAGATGTCCAATACGATGATTATTCCAAAAAGAATTGTATGGCGCGTAATCTTCTCTACTGATTCGTCAGAAGACTATACATTATATGTTAGAAAAAGGGATGAATAGATTGCTTGGATTCTCTGAAAGTCGTGATTCACTATCAAATTGAAGTATTTCGATGGTACAGATCGAACACTCAATTGGATGAAATTCAGAGAATGAAATCTGAGAATGTATATGAAAAATGTTCTTCAACATGTACCAGAATATTGACCAAAAAACGGATATATCAATCCTGTCTGAAAACTGTCAACAGACAGTTAGAAACTGTCATAAAACTAACAAACTGTCATTAAACGGATGTCATGGAATAAAGGGTCAACTTTCTAAAATTGGATTTTTGTTGCAGCTCGATCCCAGCCAGGGGCTCTGCCCCTTGGACCCCGCCAGGGGCTGCCGCCCCTGGGACCCCGCTCACAGGGGCGCTGCCCCCGGACCCCCGTTCGTTTAGGGGCTTCGCCCCTAAATAGCAATGTACTTTAAATCTTGAAAAACTTGAACAAGTGTGCACTCCTACACCATCCTAACTTGTTCAATATTCAACAAGATCACTTTTGGTCAACAAATTTAATCCTATTACACTTAAATAATATTTGATGATATAAAATCACCAATAAACCTCCCCCATTTAAGTGTAATCCTGATTAACTTAAAAACAAAACATAAACAATAACAAAGTGATGCCTAATTGAAATGTCGTGACGATTGAATTTCATATTAGTATATTACTCAATCCAAATATTCGAATATCAGGGTGTCTCTAAGGATTGAACCCTTTCTATTCAAAATGAATACATGAAGATAATACACACACCAGTTTACATTCTCATAATTTCTAACTTGACACTATATTTAACTAGCTTGTGTCCCATCCTTCAATAAGCATATCAAAGCCAAGTCCCAACTTTTTGAAGCAACTAAACTTCATGCTTATATAGGTAGTTCTTTTATTCTTGCACCTGCAAATGCAATTTTTCAAAGAACTATTAAGAAATAAATTTTCAACCTCCTTAACTTGCAGTACTGAACACATACCTTGGGATGATCATAAAATGTGTTCCAATCTTCAAGTATTAAGCTTTCCACATTGAATTCAACATCTAATATTGCATTAGATGGGAATTGGGTATCTTAATATAAAAGATTTTAAGTGGACTTTAAACCCATCCCTATAGCCGCCTTGTGCACAAGATCTCTTGCTAACCCTTTGGTTAGATGATCGGCTAAATTCAACTGAGTTCTTACAAACTCCACAGATATCACACCAGTCATGATGAGCTCACGAATCATACTATGTCTAACACCTAAATGTCTAGACTTTCCATTGTACACTTGACTATAAGCCTTAGCCAAGGTTGCGGCACTATCACATCTGATAGAAATGGTAGATATCGGTTTGGGCCATAAAGGAATTTCATAAATCAAATTCCTTAACCACTCAGCTTCTTTACCAGCAGCAGACAATGCAACAAACTCAGACTCCATGGTTGAGTTAGTAATACAAGTTTGTTTCTTAGATGCCCAAGAAATGGCACCTCCTCCAAGAAGAAACACCCAACCACTTGTAGAGGAGTGATCCTCTAAGTTGTTAATCCAGCTGGCATCTGAATAACCTTCCAAAACAGAAGGATATCCACTATAAGTTAAACCATAATTAATGGTCCCTTTCAAGTACTTGAATACTCTACTCACAGCTTGCCAATGATGTGAACTAGGATTACTAGTATACCTACTAAGCCTTCCCACAACATATGCTATATCAGGCCTAGTACTAATCATGGCATACATTAAACAACCAATAGCCCTAGAATATTCAAGTTGAGACACTGGAGATCCTTTATTTGGCAAAAGCTTGAGACTAGGATCTATAGGAGTGCTAACAGGAGAACAATTCTCAAAGTTAAACTTTTTCAATATCTTCTCAATATAATGAGATTGAGAAATTGAAATCCCATTGTTTCCTTGTTTAATTCTTATACCAAGAATTACCTCAGCCTCCCCCAGGTCTTTCATTTCAAAACTGGATGATAAGAATTTCTTGGTTTTATTAACTTCTTCTAAATCAGTACCAAAAATTAACATATCATCCACATATAAACAAATCATGACTCCTTTTCCAGAAGTATCAAATTTGCTATATACACACTTGTCAGCTTGGTTTAATGCAAAACCATTAGACAAGACAACATCATCAAACTTTTGATGCCATTGTTTTGGTGCTTGTTTTAAACCATATAATGATTTCTTTAACTTGCACACTTTATGTTCATTTCCAGGCATCACAAACCCTTCAGGTTGTTTCATGTATATTTCCTCATCCAAGTCACCATTCAAGAATGCAGTTTTCACATCCATTTGGTGAATCACAAGATTATGTATAGCTGCAAGAGCTAATAATAATCTAATAGTAGAAATTCTGGCAACAGGAGCATAAGTATCAAAGAAATCAATACCTTCCTTTTGTCTAAAGCCTTGGATAACCAATCTGGCTTTATACTTATCAATTGTGCCATCCACCTTCATTTTTCTTTTGAGGATCCATTTACATCCTAATGCCTTGCAACCAGGAGGTAAATCAGCCAATACCCAAGTATTGTTATGCATAATAGAATCAATCTCATCATGAATTGCCTCTTTCCAGAAATGAACATCCCTAGAAGCCATAGCTTCATTGAAAGTCTTTGGATCCTCTTCAATATTAAAACAATATTGATGTTGAGAAATAGTTTCATTCCTTGTTCCTTCAACTAAATATAGTTGAAAATCAGATCCAAAAGACTTAGCTTTTCTAGCTCTGGTGCTTTTCCTAGGTTCAGGTACAGAAGTTGCACCACCAGAAACATCTTCAGCTTGAGTAATACTCTTGTTGGAAGATTGATGAATCATATCCCTTGGTCTAGGTATAGATGTAAATCTTTCTTCATCAAAGATAGCATCTCTTGACTCTATCACTGTGTTTATAGACACAGAGTCATTAGATTCTAAGACATAGAATCTATATGCTTTGGAATGCTCAGCATATCCAATAAAGATACAATCTATACCTCTCTCACCCAATGTTTTCCTTTTGGGTTCAGTGAGCCTTACAACTGCTCTACAACCCCAAATTTTGAGATAACTCAAATTTGGTACCTTTTTACACCAAAGTTCATAAGGAGTATTCTTACTCCTTTTATTTGGAGTTCTATTCAAGATGTAACATGCAGTTAACATTGCCTCACCCCAAAACCCTTCACTTAAGCCAGAATATGACAACATGGAATTAACCATTTCTTTCAAAGTCCTATTCTTCCTTTCAGCTACACCATTTTGTTGTGGTGTATATGGAGCTGTGGTTTGATGTATTATTCCAGTTGATTCAAAATAAACTGGATCATAATACTCACCACCTCTATCAGTACGCAATACTTTTATTAATTCATTTTTATGAAGCTCAACTTGTTGTTTATAAATTTTAAATTTATCAAGTGCTTCATCCTTAGAATGTAGCAAATAGATATAACAATATCTAGATGCATCATCAATGAAAGTAACAACATACTTCTTGTTTCCAAGGGAAGGTGTTGCATGGAAATCACATAAATCACTATGTATAAGATCCAACACCTTGCTTTCCCTAACAACATCTTTGAAAGGTTGTCTAGTGATTTTAGTTAGCATGCATGTTTTACATTTTTCATTATTTTGCATATCAAAAGCAGGAATCAAACTCATTTTAGACATGTCTTTTAATCTCTTGTAATTAATGTGTCCTAGTCTAGCATGCCATAAATTAGATTTATGAAAATTATTGCTAGTACTACTAGAAGCCATGAAAATAGAATT